AAAATTTAAAAAAAAAACCAGCATTGGAAAACATACAAAATTTCACTAAATAACATAATAAGAATTCAACAATATTTATTATATTGCACGATGTTATCTTCAAATTAGCTATGTAGGTTACCAGATATAAATGTGCAAAATTGATTTTATGAAAAAAAAACAGATTTCTGCCTCGATCTGGAAGCCCTAGATCCAATCCAAACCAAGGCCCAGTGAGTGTGTGGGAGACCTTCCTGCTACCCTGCGCCGGTGGGACCTACTGGTCCCATCCCAGGTGCAGCATGGATGAGACCCTCTTTCACCCCCTTTTGACGCCCACCACCACTCTGCAGCACCTCCCCTACCATGCCTACCAAGTAGGAATTTCTGCGGCATTCCTGGAAACCCCAGATCCAGTCCTAGCCCAGGCCCAGAGAGTGTGTGGGAGAGCTTCCCGCTACCCTGCACCGAGGGGGACCTACTGATCCCAGCCCAGAGGCAGCATGGATGAGACCCTCTTTCACCCCTTGGGACTATCCCCACCACTCCATAGTACCCCCCCACCCCACCCACTGAGTAGGAATTTCTGTAGCATTCCAGGAACCCCCAGATCCACTCCTAGACTAGGCCAGGTGAGTGTACGGGAGAGCTTCCTCTCCCCTTTACTCCACCTGGTGCCCTCAAGACTCAGCTCAAGCCTGGTTAACAGGCCTGGGGTGAACCAATGCAGCTGCAATCTCTGCAGAGACAGTAGGGGACAAAACCACTCAGGTAGTCCAGGAGCAGAACATCATGTCAGAGGGGCACAACAGGTACACTCCCAAGGGCAGCAACAGGAAGGAGCTGAGCACAGCAGCCAGACCCAAGCCAGGGAAAACTGTATATCCAAACTTTGTAGATCTTCCCCTGAATTTCAGTAGGTGCTAAGGTTGTAACTACACCAAAGATCTACAACAAAGGTCAGAACAGTGCTTCACAAAATGACAATGAGAAGGAGCAAAATGCAATCTCAGACACCAAGCCCACCCATAACAAGTGAAGAGCACACTAACACAGAACAAATTGGGAACCACACAGCTGAAATCAATGAATCAACAGCTTCTGAAATAA